AGGGGGCGGGCGGGGGAAAGGTAAGGGGGGGCGCTAGGACAGCCCCCAGCTCCCGAGCGGGCGTGGCTTCCACCGTCACAGTAGACGCGGATGCTGCGCGGCTCCGGGGGGCTGCTCGCGGCCGCCGGGCTCATCCGTGGCCGGCCCCGGCGGGACACGGCGCCCCTCGCGGCCGCTGCCTCCGTACGACGGCCCCCGGGGGCCCCGCTCCGACCCCGGCCACCCCCTTCAGCTCCGTGATGAGCTCTCGGGTGGGCTTGGAGTTGGGTTTTGAGCCCGAACTGGAAGCTGCTTAGGAAAAATGAATGGGGTTGCGGGGAGGAGATAGAGCGGTGGGAAGGCGTGGGGACCAGAGGTCGCGTCGATAGAAGGCCGCTTTCCGCACCCCCGCCCAGAAGGCCGGCTGAGCTCGCCCCCTCCGGACGGCAAGGTCGGGGTCTCGGGAAAAGGAAACCACAGTCCGGACCTCCTCAGAGCTGTCCGCAACAGTGTCGCCTTCTGGGGTCCACCTCAGGGCTCGCGAGGCTGGAGGCCCCTTGGAGATCCCGGCTCCTTGCTCGGCTGGTCCCCAACGCGGCGCGGGTGACGACTGCGCTTGCAGGAAAGCTTTTGCCTCTCAATGAACCACTTAGAAGTAGGACATCTCGGCCTACAGCTCCCTGCTCTTTCTTTTCTTTCTTTTCCCTCCAGTTCTCGTGCTCGCGCGCGCACACACACACACACACACACACACACACACGTGTGTTTGTCTCACTACAAAGTTAACAGCGTTACCCCGTGCGCACCCGTCTCCCGGTGCGCTTGATATATGCCACCCCCCCCCCCAAGATTAGGTGCCGCTGGGAGTCCCGCGTGGGGTTCCATTCTCCAGGGACCAGGACTCTCTGGCCACCCCCGGCGGGACCCTTCCCCTGCGCTGGGTGACTCTGCCCTCGACTGCCGGGCGCGCATCTTCTCTCCGCCAGTCGACCTCGCTCCCCCTGCGCTGGCGCGTCTCCCCTTTGGCCCTCTGCGTCCACGCCCGGGGCCAGCTCGGATGGCGTTTGTCCCTCTTTGGGTTAAGGCAGTGGCCTAAACGGTTTGATGAGTTTTCGGTGAGACACGCAGCTCTAAACCCCTCGTACACGCGGCGGGGGACAAGCTGACGTTCCCGGCTTCGCTTTCCCGCGCCGCGACACTTCGTAATTACCTGACAAAATGCGATATGGGGGTGTCCATTGTTCCGTTCAGTGTTATTGTAGAGTGTGCACTGTGACAGTGGTGGAACTTAAAATTGCACAATTAAAAAATTTTTTTTATTAAATTTTTACTAAAAGAATGAATTCAGTGTGCAGGATATGAGTAAGCTTTCCATTAAAATCTCAGTTTGGCCTGTCAAACGAGGCTCATCCTGGGTATTACGCTGCCTAATTTGCATCTTGGCATTGTTTTGTTTTTTTAAACGTCGAATTAGAGCTCTTTGGGAGCATACTCGGGAGGACTGAGTACCTCCACGTTGGCTATTTTGCCGTTTAGCATCGTTTTGTTTCGTAAAGGTCAAATTACAGATGCTTGGGCGTGTACCCAGGAGAGCTGAGCACCTCCTTTCGTCTCTTCTCTTCCCTGTCTGGAGAAAGCGAGGAGAAGCCGCACCCCGCTCCGCGTGGCTCGTGGATCCCAGGCGAGCCAAGAGGCCAGAGGGAGCGGGGCCAAACCAGGCTTTGCTCCGCGAAACCCTTGCCCCCAGTAAAGTTAAAAATCCTGGGGCGGTTATCCCGGACGAGAAAAACTCAAGAGAACCGATGAGGTTTTAGGGAGTGCTCTGCAATACCAGAGTTCGAGATTTTTTACGGTAGCCTCTGGGAGCGTACCCAGGTATACACCGGTTTTGAGCCCAAGTACTCTGGCCAGATCTCTGGCCAGGAGTCCTCAGGAACCCGAAGTGGGACCCAAGACCATCCAGACAGCGAGAATACCGGGAGGGGCCAAAACCTGTTTGCGCTAACACAACCCACGCCCCCTTCCTGGAACGCTAACACAACATTCTCATTTTTAAATCAGTGTGTAAGAGTGGGTGTATTTCTCAGTGAGAAATAAGCATCCTAATGCCATTGCTGGAAGAGAGAGAAGAAGAAGGAATCTTTTTGATTTTTCAATCTGAATTTCATCCAAAACATCTGATAAATAGGATGTGGGTTGGAGTTAGTTTTCTCTGTTTTGTCCTCTCGGTCTTTAATGAGAAGTAGTGAGAAACCTTTTTTTTTTTTTTTTTTTTTTTTTTTTACTTTTGAATAACTGTGGAAAGGTATGTTGTAAAGTGTACACAGAAAGAAGTTTTTTGTCTTCTGGAGACATATTTAAGTCCCCTCTGTTTCCTTTGGTGCCAGAACCATTACAATTGATTCACTGTTGTTCAGTTGATATCGAATAACAAGTTATATACCCCAGGTCCTAAGATACAGTTTCACAAGCTAAGAATAAAATAAACAGAAAAGGTGAACTGTAGCCCAGAGTTATATTTAGAGGCAGCTACACTTCCTTTAGAGAAAATTACTTGCTCTGCCAGGCATTTAATACAAATAATCATATTAATCAGCAACCTGTTCCTTCACAGGCATATGTCCTCCAGAAAACTGAGGTGAGAACATCGAATTAGAATCCACAATGCATGTCATCAGTGACAGAATGAAAGCTCGTAAAGTATGTGTGAGAAGACTTTTAGTCTTGAAGGGGCTTATGATTTTTACACCTTGGCAAAGACAACGTGTAGTGAAAGTTGCTCTGTCATGTCTGACTCTTTGCAACCCCATGAACTGCCAGGCTCCTCTGTCCTTGGAATTCTCCAGGCAAGGATACTGGAGTAGGTAGCCAGTCCCTTCTCAAGGGGGTCTTCCCAACCCAGCGATCGAACCCAGGTCTCCCCCATTGCAGGGAGATTCTTTGCCATCTGAGCCACCAGGGAAGAGATGAAGACAATTATATAATGGGTTGCTGTTTTATGAATTTGGATATACCATGAGTCCAATAATGTTCCCTGGATAACTGCAGACACTCTGTGAGAGTATAACCCAGTGTGGACAGGACAATCTCTTACTTATCTTGGAAGAGCCACCCTTTATTCTATGAATTATCTTTATGCTTCCCAATCATTAGTGCCCTCTCTCTCACATACACACACTCAAGCACACATCCAAGACAAACCCTGAACATAGAAAAAAATTCCCTTTACTAGTCCTGCCAGTCACCAAAATAGGCACAAGATTGACCTTCCATTACATTCATTCCTCAGGTATATTTTTATGACTTTTACTCTTCAAGCTTGCTCTTAATGTTCATTCTAGCCTGATTAATCCAGAAAATACTTCAGAGAGTGGATAGGAAGAAGACCCCAGTGTGATTTGCCTTCAGCCCTCAACCTCTCAATCTGCTGCTTTGTTATCTCCAAGAACACCTAACTCAGAGGCCTAGTCTTCGTGACTTAAAAGAAATGAATAGATATTTGCTTATTGATTAGTATGATATAATAACTAACTTTTATATATTGTCTAAAATTAATGCTCATTTTGAACAAGCTCTGTGATCTAACCAAATGTGGAGACTATAATATGTGGGAAAATTACTATGCTGAACACATTGTAAGAATTGTCTCATCTAATATCCACAAAACCCTATAAGGCAGCATCTACTGTGATCCCCATTTTACAGATGAAGAAACTAAGGCTTGCATAAGCTAAGTTATTAAGTCACAAGCCAGTAAGTATTGGGATTTGAATCTATAACTTTCTATTCAACTCTGGATTTGGAGTTCTTGACACTATACTAATCTACATATTCCTTTTGACAATCTGTATTTTGTATCATCTAAAGCCCACATATTTCAAATTTTAACATCTCTGAAATTGTGACATATCTTATAAGACTTCTTTAAATTATAAATAACAGCTCCCCCTACCCCTGCTGCATTGGTTTGTGAAGAAATCACATATTTTCCAAAACAGTGGTGTATTTGGTTATGGTAGGTTATGCTGCAATATCAAATATCAGAAAATCTAAGAGACTTAAAACAAGATAGGTTTGGGACTTCTCTGGTGGTCCAGTGGTTAAGACTCCACACTCTTAATGTAGGGGGCCCAGGTTCGATCCCTGGTCAGGAAACTAGATACCACATGCCTCAACTAAATATCCTGCATACCACAACTAAGACTGTGCAGCCAAATAAAAACACACCACACACACACACACACACACACACGAGAGGTTTATACTACTTGCTCACACAAAGTTTGCTGAAGATCTGTGTGACCCTCCAGTCACACAGTGCACATTTGTACCAGTAGGTACTTCCCGTAGCTACAAAGAAGAAGAAGGTAAAACCTTGGAGGATCTCACACAGCAATTAAGTGCTCCAGCTTAGCAGTGACATAGGTCACTTCTGTCTATGAATCATTGACTAGAATTAGTCACATGGCTCTGCCCAACTGCTAGGGAAGCTGGGAATTGAATCTACCACATTCTCCAAAGGAGTGAAGAGCTGGATATGGGCAAGTATTTATGAAATATGGTCATTAGGGTCAGTTAATGTAAATATCATGGATCTATTTTAATAAAAACCAATGAGCAACAGTTGGCCTATGATCTATTATGGTCCATCATAAGTGCACTTTCAAAATTCATGCTTATGTTTTACTTCAAAGAACAAAATTCAGAATTCATCAAAAAGAACTTTATGAAACAGCATAACTATAATTCAGGAAGTCTACAGGTGAGCTTCAGGGCTTTGGAACCTTCTGAAGGGATATACCAAATCTTCAGTGCATTTTTTTCTGAGGAATGGGTTATTCTTAATTGAGATTCATGATTAATCCATTCCTTTATTCAACAACTATGTGTTGAGAGCCCAGTATATCCCAGGCATGATGTTCTGAGTTCTTGAGATCCAGCAGCAAAGATGACACACAAGTTCCCAAATCTCGTTAAGTTTATAATCTGCAAAGGGGACAATAAATAATTTAAAAAGACAATTTTTAGGTCCAGATAGGTGAGAAAAAAGGACAATATGATAGGAACTGGAGTAGGTTGATAAAAGAGGTTGGGGTTTACTTTAGCTAAATAGTCAAGATTAACCTTTAGGAGGGAATATTTGATCTGAAATAGGAAAGATGAGAGGGATTGCTTCTGCAGAGGTCTTATAATCCTTGAGAAAAGTGTTCTGATCCAAATTCTTAAGGAGCTGAAGAATGCACTCAGTACACTGGGCACGTTGAAAATATCTGGAGCATGGAGAGTAGTAGGAGAGGTAGTGAAAGAGAAATGCAGAGGCCAGATTTGCTGGGGCCTGTAGGTAAGGGATGGATAAGAGATCAGAATTTTCTAGGTTTGGAGTCTGAAGGCAGAGGCCAGAGAGTAGAGGGGAATCGTGCCTCCTGTCTGAGATGGAGCCCGGAACAGCACCTGTATAACATGGCACAGCCAGGCACAGTGGGGGCAGGCACAGTGGTGTGCAGGAACTTGGACAGAAGGTTCTGGGGTTGCTATAAATACTCTGCACTCACCATAGTGTGTGTTTCATGTGTGGCTGGGGGTAGAGTAGGTGTGGCTCTGAGAGACTGCAGAATTTTTTTTAAATTTATACATAATCTTGTATTGGAGTATAGTTCAGTTACAATGTTTTATTGGTTTCGAGTATACAGCAAAGTGACTCACTGTACATATATATAGTCTTTTTCATATTGTTTTCCATTATGGTTTACTACAGGATATGGAATATAGTTCCCCATGCTATACAGTAGGACCTTGTTGTTTATTTTATATATGGTAGTTTGTATCTGCTAATCCCAAACTCCTAATTTATCTGTCCCCCTTCCCCTGTCTGTGAGTTTGTTTCTATTTTGTGAATAAATTCATTTGTATCATATTTTAAATTCTGCATACAAGTGATATCACATGGTATTTGTCTTTCTCTTTTTGACTTACTTCACTCAGTCCATCCATGTTGCTATAAATGGCATTATTTCACTTATGGCTGAGTAATATTTCATTGTAGTGTGGAATATTATACCACATCCTTCTTTATATATTCATCTGTTGAAGGGCATGTAGGTTGCTTCCATGAGGTTACAGAGTCTAAGTAGACCTGCCCCTAAAATGTTTGATCAGAGACTCCACTAGGACTTCCACGACAGAGGAGGCCAGCCGGAGAGGTGACTGTGGCTGAGGAGTGGATTCCACCCACCCACCCACCCACCCACCTGTCCTGTGGATGCCAGCCCAGTGAGAAGAGTGTAGGGGTGGACACGAGAGGAGATTCAATCAGCTGAGATTATCTGGAGGTTTCATTTCTACCTCCTAGCATAGGAGTCTTGTGAAACAGACTTTGGGTTCAGTTATAAAGAAATGAAGTTTACATGTAGCAAGTACCTGAAGTTTTTACACTGATACTTACAGTTCACACATATATTTTACCCTATAACTCAAATTTGCTTTTAAATAATTTTTAAAAGAAGTTTTCTGACTCCTGAAGTAAATTTTGTGCATTACCTGCCTGAGTATTTACTATCTAAAATAGTATCACCCAAACAAGAATGGCTTTCCTTGAGGGTATGGCCTTACCATCATAATAAGACCAACTTAAACATAGAACATTTTCAATAATTATCCCAAATTCTGGTAAATACAAATTTCAACTTAGTATCTGAGTTATCTTGAATTGTCATTGCCTTTCCCAATGACATCCGTTGATGAAATCAGATCTCTTCTCTGTTAGATTTATGTAGATACTAATGTAGATATAATAATATCATATTTCCTTTAGACAATCAAATGCCATTAGAATGACTAGCCCTCTGACAATCCGATGTTGAGTTATATCATCAACAATCATGTCTTGAAGTCCTGCTAGAGCCAAGTATTTTGTGCAAATTTTATCAATTATTTCTCACAAGCATGCTTTAGAGTATAATTGTTTCTGTTTCACACCTTAGGAGACCGAGGCTGAGCTCAAGATCACACTAGGAAATGACTGATCCAGAAAAACGTCTTCAGTTGGCCAACTTCCAGACAGGTGAGGTATGCTGCCACCTACTCCATACTCTGCTCTTCTCTAATCAGCACTTCTATCACTTTTTTGGGGGAAAAGAGAATATGCAGATATAGTAAATAATCCTAACTTCTACTTCATTCTGATTTACACCTGGATGTTATCGGAATTAAAATATCCATGACCAGTACTCAACCTCTCAAAAATAACATACTACACTGTAATATTCTCAAACCAAATATGGTATTCAGTGAATGGTTACAGAGAATTGATATCTATGTTTTGACCCACCTCCTTTGAGAAACATTACATGTTGTAAGAAACATTTTTCTTTCACAGAAAAATTGTCTCCAATGTGCTATTGAGCCATAAGTTGTCTCTTTATTACATCCCAGAGGGAAGAAGTTGAGTGGAAAAGATTCCACAGTTTAACTATGAGAGGATGTTACACATTTCAGTGGAAGAAAAAATTTTTCATCAAAAGCTAAGTAGATAAATTAAAGATGCTATAATAAGTCTTGGGATATAGACTGTGCATTTGTTTTGCTTTGTTTTTTAAATCCATTAAAGATACTAAATCTGTATACCAGATGCTGAAGTAGGACTCATTTAACTCAAGTTTTGCCTTTCCCATCTGAAGTCAGTCAGTCTTTAGGGCAGCTGATTGCTTTTGGAGTCTGGAGGTGAGGGAGAGCTGGCAGGGACAGATAGAAGAGAAGAGAGAAGATCCAGGGTCAGTGACTGCAGACTGCGCTCACCAAGGAAGTCTCAGGATGTACAATATGGGAAAGTGCCAAAGTTCTAAGCTAGAAAACAAAGCAAAACCAAACCAAACCCCAGCATGGGGAAATAAAAGGAAGTTCTACACTGAACAGAGTGTGCACAGGAGCATCTCTTTATGTGAAGAGCAGTAGAGTTTTGTGGCCTGAACACACAATTACATAGAATTTAGTAATATAAAAGCTACTATTTATTGAATGCTTTTTAATAAATAGGACTTTAATAAGTAGTACTGTGCTTAATATCTTAGGTTATTTTATTCGATCCTCACACAGTTGACACAATTATAGACTGTGTTCCATTTTGCAGATGAGGATATGGAAACATTAAGCAGTTGCTTACTAAGTGGGCCAACAATCTGACTGGAATGTAGAATTCTTCCTGCCACCTTGCAATATCAATGGTTTTGACGAGGGTTCTTGCTTGCAAGCAACAAAATGAGCTCTGGTTATCTAAAGGAAACAAAAATGTTGAAGGAAAGGGGGCTCATAGACTCTGAGAGGCTAGAAGAACAGGCTTGGGAAACAAGGGAGAACCCAGGGCCTAAGGAGGCCAGGCCATAGGAACTCTCTATCCAAGATGGCCCCATCTCTGCTTCTGCTGCACCACACCTTCTAGAAATGACTACTGGACATCATGCTGACCCCTTGAACTGCTCCAGATGCTCCTCCTTCATCTCGGGGTGCATGGGCCTGTGTGGGAGGGTCCACGGCCCAGCACTGGGGCCCCTGCTCCATATTCCAGGGTGAGGGGAGAGTGAGATTCAATCTGTTTGGCATCTAGAGTGGAAAGTGAGGTCTTATATCCCAATATCACATGCAATGAAGAATTCCCCTAAACACAAGGACAGATGGATTTTGACAGCCAAAGGAATGTTATAATGTCCTTCCAGACTACCCGCTGTAGCCGCTTTGTAGCAAATCATTCCATTAGGAAAGTAAATGTAGGGCTGTTAAAATAATTTTGAAAGGTCAGGCAAAGGTGGAATTATGCAAACATTAAATATTGCAAATCAAAACCTGACTGACCTAGAATTTCATCCTAATAGATTTATTTGCAATCTCTAAATGCAAACTTTAAAAAGACAAATTTGGTAACCCATATGCTAAACAGCAATTAATTGGAATGTTTAGGGAATGGAATGTTCTTGTTAACTTAAATTTCTAACTAAAAGTGATTAAGCCCTTAAAAAGACCCACAAACCTTTATGTTTGAGATCTTGTCACTGCAATTCTTTATAAAATATTTGGATTATGAAGATTTTGTAATGCCTCAGAATTACTGATGCCACCATACATGGTTGTAAAGTGCAGTGGGAGTAGATTGTGCTAAATGTGTGTAGATCTCAGGGTATACCGTGTATACATTAGGCAAACTTCCTTTTTTTTCATTTTAGGTTAATCCTTTTGTTAACTTGTATTAACATTTTTATTTTTTAAAAAAGAATTATCATTTTCAAATGTAAAGGAAGAAATGGCTATATATTCAATTACAAATGCAGAAACATACAGTACCATTTGATCTTGAAAATGTAACAGCTATGAAAGCATCCAATATTAGTTTATTAGCCAAACTTCTGATATAAGTTTGCCTAGGGAGATGGGAGGTAAGAAAAAGGGAGACTAATCCTAGTGAAGGATAGAAATGGCAACCATTTGAGCTGGGCCTTGATGGATGATCAAGGTATGATATTGACAAGTGAGGGAGGGAGGAAGAGGAGCATCCTAGGCAGGAAGAACAATATGAAGAAAGGTTTCAAGGCATGATGGTGCACATGGAGCAAAGGGAAGGGGGATAATTCAGTGGGTTTAGGATGAGTGTATTAAAGGGGATCTGTGAGACCACCCCAAAGGTAGGATAGGAACAGATCATCAATGGCTGCAAATGGCATCCTAAAGGAGCTTAAATATTTGCTGAACTATAATCAAAATTATTTTATAATAAGGTATTACATGGGTATTTTTACATCCATTTTACAAGTGAATAAACCAAAGCATAAAAAGGTTAAGTGACTTGCCTAAAAGCATTCAGCTAGGAAGTAACAGAACCAAGATCTAGATTTAGATCTAGCCTGATTCTAGAGCCTACAATCTTAATTTTCAACCTATACAATTTTAACAAACCATACTCCAGAAGACATTATAAAAGGAAATATAAAAGCAGTGGTAATTTTACAATAATAAATAGGACCTGGGGAAAAGACGTATGCAATGTAACAGACTATTTTGAGGTTGTAATCAATAAAGATGATTTTCACATTAGCTTTCATAGCTGCAAGAGGTTGTATTGTAGGAACCCACAGAAGGATGTGGGTTCATTTATTTTTAGATCCCTCCCACCATACAAATATGTTAACATTATATCTATATAAATACTATCTTTGTTACTTATTTCCTATCTACCTCCTTTGAAAGGGACATCTCATTTATTCTGGTCATTACAAGTAACCTAATATAAAGGAATTATAAAATGTCTCCTTGTAAAACACACTTGGGGGCTTCAGTGGTAGTCCTATTAAATCAATATTAAAATTGATGAAATCCAATAAAAACATTAAATCCAAGTCTTAGGAGGCATGCAAATAGTCTTGTATAAAAAAAAACTGAGGCATGATTATTAAATATGAGAACCAAGGTGCAAATATCACCAATAAATCCTTTGGAAATATTTTTAAGAAGGAGACTGTCTCTCTTAAAGTCTGAGACAGATGAAAAACAGAAGGGAGTTCTGCACCCAGAGGACTTCAAAGATTGAGATGTTGACTAGTTCATTCAGCTTCAGTGTCTTGGAATGACCACAGACAAGCTGTTTTTTAACTCCCAATGCTTAGTATGGCACAAGTACTTTAGAAGGATTGTTTTTCTTCTTTCTGCAGTAGTAAAAGAATCTACTGTCATGAAATAGACCCCTGGATCAGTGTTACAAGCAAAACCCGCACCTACTATGAGACTCCTACGTCTCACTCTAGCCTTCTCTCCTCTGTTATCATGAAGATTTCAATTTCAAACTGCAGCTGTGATCATTCATTTCCCTTTAGAAAAAAGTATGAAGCTGAAACATCTTCCAAAATATAAAACCAAATACTTACAACTTAAACTACCCATTTCACATTGTTTAGATCTTAACTTAAATCAACCGTGTGAAGACATTCTTGAGACAACTGGAATATTAAGAATTTTGGTTATTTTGTTAGGCACAATTGTAGTTACTTTTTTTAAAAAAAAAAGGAAATCCTATTTCTTATAAATAAATTCTGAAATATTTTGAGGCAAAATATGATATCCAGGATTTGCTTCAAAATACTCCAGCATTGTTGAGGAGTGAAAAATGTGGATAATTGACCAAACTGGGTAATAAGCACATATGGTCTAATTACCCTATTTTTTCTACTTTTGTGTAAAGTTTGAAAACTATAATAGAATGTAACAAAAAGTAAAAAAAAAAATTTAAAAAATCACAAAAAGACCTCTTCAAGAGAAGTCTAATTCAAAACAGGGCTTCAACAGTGAATGGATTTCTATCTAAAATAAAGTTCTAAGCCCTATAATTGTAACATCTTTAGAACAACTCATGACCATAATATTTGCAAGCAAACAGCATTTCAATCATTTTTGCAGTGTATACATACTTATCCTATGTGGGTAAATTGCATGCTTTGTTCTGGAGCTAAAAACAGCCTTTCTCCTAGAAGTAGAAGAAACAAAAGCACTTTATATCTATATTGTTATTGATTTGAAGTTGGGAGGATCTATGGTTGAATAGTGGAGAATGATGATAGAACAAGCTTTCTATGTGCTGGGCACTGTTCTAAGTACTTTACATTTAAGAACTCATGCGAATAGTCAAAATTACTCATTAATATAGGTAATATTATTCTTTCCACTTTACAACTAAGAAAACCACAGAACTGATGATAAATGACATAATTTGCCCAGTTTGCACTATTGGTTAACAGCAAAGCTGGGATTCAAATGCAGGGAATCTGACTCCTGTGTCATGAGCTCTTAATCACCAAGTTCTGTTACTCTCCATGGAAAGAGTGTCTTGTAGAGTTGTTTGTTTAGACTTTGGGGACCTAGTCTCTTTTATTCTTAAAGTAACTCTTACTCCCTTTGACATCCGCATATTCTCTTTGCTTTGTTATGTACTTCAAACCTATTACTCCCAACATGGTCATACCAGCCCTATAATATTCAAACACATTTATTACAGATGTTTGTTTATGGCATGGTTTCAAAGAGAAAACATCACGGCAAGCTCTTCTGATTTAAAGCAGGGTACTTTTGAGAAAGAGGTTCAACACCATAGTAGTTGACAATGACATCTCTCTTATGTGGGTGTCAGCTGTTGGGAAATGACCTTACATGATTTGTCCTAATCACTTATCACTTTCATTCAGATGGTCTTTTGCGAATTCTTTTCAGCCCAGCAAGTTGATACCATGACTTCCACATTTCCAAGTTTAATAATGGAATCTCTTTCTCGTTCTCCCTCTCATTTAGACACATTATTTGGGAAAGAAGAGTTTTTCAAAGATCTATTTGTCTATGGGCCACATCACAATAACCTTTGCATATGATGACTTTAATTTGGGACACTTTTTATCCATGCAGCATAATTAAGAATTTATTTGAAATACCTATGTTATAACCTGAAATAAACTTGGCAAATTACAATTATCCTGAAGTTTTAGTCCATGAATTCAAATTGGCCTACTCCCAAAGCCTCTCCATCCCAATTCCTGGAGGACTTTTAATAGCTATTTTAGACAAGAGTTAGTTTGAGTCTACATGGGGCTTCATATTGACTTATTTAATTGACTTGATCATTGAACTTATGAAAAGAATGGCTTGATTGACTTGTTTGAGTAAATTTGTGAAAAGTGATTTCTTAGAATTAACTGGCCATACTGATTTGATTGTTCACCCATAGATACATCTATCCTTGAATTTTTCATTTTCCAATTTGAGAAGAAAACTGCTCTTTAAGGCAGAGAAAATATTTTCAGGTAAAATATTTCAAGGGTTATATTTATGACTGCAGAGCAGTAGATCCTGACAAGATTCCTTGACAATTCTATAATTTGAAGTTGTCAACCTTTATAAATATAATAAATGCAGTATGTCTTAATCCCCTTCTGCCTGATGTTACCTATATATACATTCCATGCAACAAAAGGAGGTTTTTCTCTATAGAATTCTATCACAGTTTCTCTAAAACCTTAGGTAATGTAGTCTGACTTATATATTTATTTAAAAAAAAAGAAAGAAAGAAAATAAATAAGGAAATTAGATATGAGAGAGAAAGAAACAATAGGAAATAATAGGAAAAAAGTTTAGATTACAATTTTTTAAGAATAGTGAGTCTCAGCCTTGGCTGCATATTAGAATCTCCTGAGGAATATTTGAAAAATACTGATACCTGGTCCTCAAGTCCAGAGATATTGATTCAGTTGGTTGTGGTGGCTTTTTGGTCTTCATCAGAAATGTTTAAGTGGCAATGAAGAACTAGCTGAACTTCTGGTCATGGAGACATTCTCTGCTCTGGACTTCCTGCTCTGAAAACACAACTCAAATAATCTCTGAATTTGAGTGTGATGGTGAAGTGAAGATAGGAATGGAGAATAAAGATCCAGTTCATTCATTCATTCTTCAACTGGCCAACAAATATTTACATAGTGTCTGTTCCTCAGCAGACACTGTAGTAAGAGTGAGGATGCAATTACAAACAGAACAGTTAAAGAATTATGGGGTCCTCTCTAAAATCTTCCTTCTAGGCTTAGTGTTTCAACCTATGTTAATGTCAAGATCAATTGGGCTGGTTGGATCGGAGAGACAGAGAATGAAATGATCGTAAGAACCTCATTAGTCTACTAGCTAATTTTTCATAATGGAATAAAAACATTTTGATACTTAGCTGGACCTCAGAGATCATCTACTTTTTTTTTGCAAATGTGTAATTTTAATCTCAAAAGATTCAATGACTAACCCATGATCATATAGTGATTCAGGTCAGAGCTGTGTAACTCAGATTGCTAGTCATTTTTAATACTGTCTATGTTTAAGTAACAGAGAAGGCAATGGCACCCCACTCCAGTACTCTTGCCTGGAAAATCCCATGGGCAGAGGAGCCTGGTGGGCTGCAGTCCATGGGGTCTCAAAGAGTCGGACACGACTGAGCGACTTCACTTTCACTTTTCACTTTCATGCATTGGAGAAGGAAATGGCAACCCACTCCAGTGTTCTTGCCTGGAGAATCCCAGGGACAGGGGAGCCTGGTGGGCTGCCGTCTACGGGGTCGCACAGTCTCAGACATGGCTGAAGTGACTTAGCAGTAGCAGCAGCGTGTTCAAGCAAAAACCTTCTCAACAGATTTTTTTTTCCTTCCTAAGTTCCTTAAAGAAAATTTTCTCCCAGAAAGACCCTTTGTAAAAGAAAAGGACCAGGTTCTTCCCTTGCACTGAGCTAATCTTAGTGTGAAATTAACTAGCAGCTTTGCTAGTCAATTCAACATTGCTCCTCTGTAGGGTGGCTCAGATGGTGAAGAACCTGCCTGCAACACAGAAGAACTGGGTTTGATCCCTGGGTCAGGAAGATCCCCTGGATGGGGGAATGGCAACCCACTTCAGTATTCTTGCCTGGAGACCCCCATGGACAGAGGAGCCTGGCAGACTACAATTCATAAGATGGCAAAGAGTCGGACACGACTGAGTGACTAACATTAGGGAGATAAACTTGGAAAAAAGGAGAATAGAGGTCCATTTCCTCCCTGATTACTGTTGCTCTAAGGTAAAATGCTCAGAACATAAGCAGATGTCAAGAAAAGTCTATTGTGAACATGGGGAGGATTTGAGACCTAAAAATTAAACAAAAACAAAAACTACAATGAAGAATTATATATCCTTTCCCACATCATCTTTGAAGGTTAAGCTTTAACTTGGAAAGGACATTCAGTGATGTGGGAAATGCAGATTCCTACTGTAAAGAGATTTCCTTTTATACCCATTTGTTGGAAATTTAAGAAGTTTGACAATATCAAATGTTGAGAGGGAGTGATCAACTGGATCTCTCATAAATAGCTGGTGGAAGTGTAAACTGGAAAAGCTACTTTGGAAAACTGTTTGGCATTATCTATTAAAGTTGAATATTAACAACATACAATGTATGTGTGTGTGAGCAACCCAATAATTCCAATGGTAGATGTAAACTCTTAACAGGTGAACCTGGAGGCATTTGTAAACCTCTTCATGGTAACATTGTTGTAATAGAAAAAAAAAAACCTGGAAGAAATCCAAATGTCCATTGACTGGAGAAGGGATAAAGTGTGGTGTTTTCACCCAGTGGATATTATACAGCAGTCAAAACAAATGAACTGTCTCTATAAACATCAGCATGGGTGAATCGCAGCAAAATATGTTGAGTAAATAAAAAGGATCACAGAAAAGTACATCTAGCATGTATGTGTGTATGTTAGTTACTTCGTCATGTCCGACTGTTTGTGACCCCATGGACTGTAGCCCACCAGGTTTCTCTGTCCGTGGAATTCTCCAGGCAAGAACACTGTAGTGGGTTGCCATTTCCCTCCAACATCTAGCATGCGGCCACCTTTTTTGAGCTAAAAATAACCAAATAATATACTTTTAGGAATACATATAGTGTTAAACTATGTGTTTTAAAAATCATGGGAATGATAAATACAAATTGAAGATAAAGATAACCTTGAATTAAGGAAGAAATGAGAATAGTATGGAGGAGGGTCACATAGTCAGAAGTAAGCTATTGTCAATATTTGAATTCTTGTGCTGACGACGGGGTTACTATATATGTTATACAAAGATTTATAGGTAACTGTATTAGTTCTTAATTGTAGCATAACAAACTATCCTATAACTTAGCAACTTAAAAATAGTTATTATTACACATAGTTTCTTGGTCAGGCATCCAGTGCATCTTGGTTGGGTGGTTTGGCTCAGAGTTTCTCATGAGGTTACAGTCAAGCTGTGAGTCAGAGCTGTAGTCTCTGAAAGAGCTGGAGGATCTGCTTCCGAGATGGCTCATCCACATGGCTTTAGGCATAAGGCTCAGTTCCTTGATCCCTGGGCCTTTTCATAGGACTGCTTGTGACTTGCCTTCTTCCACCAGAGCAAATAATGAGAGAGAGACAGAGACAGAGAATATGAGCAATCAAGAGCCCATGAGGGAAGCTGCGCCGGGTCTTCACTGTAGTCCGTGATACCTTTGTTGTGGCATGTGGGATCTTCAGTTGCGCCATGGGGGATCTAGTTCCCTGAGCAAGAATCGAATCCAGCCGCCTGCACTGGGAGCACGGAATCTAATCCAGTGGACTGCCAGGAAAGTCTCTGCAATGTCTTTCATAAAAGTAATAATGAATTAACACACCATCACTTTTGCTGGACTTTATTGATCATTCATACCTACCCTGAGACAAGATGGAAGTCATACCACAGGGTATGACTATTAGGATACAGGAGTCACTGGATACCATCTTGGAGGGTGCCTACCACCATAATAAAACAAAAAAGAACAATGCATGGGCCAATGATAAAAATGTGTTAAGAAGCAATTATGTGGGAGCTGAGGCTGGAAAATAGATGAATAAATAAACAAGTGCATTCAGTTCTGAAGACAACAGGATACAGGGGAAGGAGTGAGATGAGATCTAGTTCTAGCTACCACTTCTCAGCTTTCTGACTTTGGGAAATCCATTTGACTTCCTTGCATTTATAAAAAAGGATATTTACTTGCTGCTTTAAATTTTTTATTATGTAAATATTCAATCATACACAAAATTGAATAACAAATACCATATGCTTATCATCCTAAATCAGCAACTTTCAAGATTTTGGCATACTTGCTTTGTCTATTTTTCCCCTCCTCAAGTGCCTTAAAGCGAATTCTTGACATTGTATTATTCTATCTCTGTATACTTTAGTATGTATCATTTTAAAATATGGACATTTTTCTTATAGACTCACACATAAGGTTAATAATAATTCCTTTGCAATATCTAATATATCAAACCTATGACTTGAAAGTGAAAGTCACTCAGTTGTGTCTGACTCTTTGAGACCCCATAGAATTCTCTAGGCCAGAATACTGGAGTGGGTAACCTTTCCCTTCTCCCCGGGATCTTCCCAACTCAGGGATTGAACCCAGATCTCCTGCATTGCAGGCAGATTCTTTACCAACTGAGCCACAAGGGAAGCCTTGAATTTCTTTAAATGTCTCAAAACTTATTTTTTTATAGTTGTTTTTTTAGAATCAGGATCCAAACAAGGTCCACACATTATACGTGGTTTGGTATGCCCCTTAGAAATCATTCAATGTAGAAATCCTTTTACTCATTTCCATATTAACTTCCCTTGTCTTGTTGAATAAATGCAGTCAGTTGTCTTGTAGAATATCTTACATGCAGTTTTAGTCTGTTTGCTTCCTTGTGAGGATGTTTCACTTGTCCAGCTCCCTCCTATGTTTCTAGAAAATTGGAAGTTAGACCTACAGGCTTGATGAGATTTAGATTCAACTATTTGGGAAGAGGGCTTCCCAGGTGCTTCAGTGGTGAAGAATCTGCCTGCAATGCAGGAGATCTGGGTTCAATCCCTGAGTTGGGAAGATCCTGGGGAGAAGGGAAAGGTTACCCACTCCAGTATTCTTGCTTGGGAAATCCCATGGACAGAGGAACCTGGCAGACGACAGTCCACGGGGTCAAAAAAGAGGTCAGACACAACTCAATGACTAAACAACAACAACATTTAGGCAAGAATATTTCATAGGTAGTTTTGTGCTTCGTAACGCACCACATCAGGAGGAACATCAGTGTGGACTCCCCACTCCTGGCGCTGCTGACATTGGTTAGTGCCTGCGGGTGGTGTCAGCCTGAGCCTGCATTGTGAAGTTTTCTACCAGCCTCTTGTCTATTGATGACTGTTGCCTGGATCGATTGTTTTATGAAGAATTACAATATGATGATTTCCTAATCTTACCTTTGATTCCCCTTCTATTCGATGGAATTGTGTGATAAACGTCCCCCTCACCAGCCTGAGCTATTTGGTCACCGCATTAGAAGAGGCAGTTGCTCCCAGCGTCACGTCCTCTCAGCCGGCCTCCTGCTACCGCCATTGCTGGAGGAGGCATCTCTCCCCGTGTGCGCTACGTGCGTCTCACATCCTGCCCTCTGACTCTGTCAGGGCGGGACATGTTCTGGCACTCACAGGACAGCTTAGAGATGCCAGGGACTGAGGTTCCAAGGCGGAGATACGGATCAATAGGCAGTGCAAGTTGGTTGATAACTGCGCCTCTCTTGCATCAAGCTGATAATTAGGAAGTGTATTCTACACAGCAACTCAAGGAGTCCCCTCAGGCTCAAGGCCTTTTCGCCCACTGTGGCTAACGAATGACTAACTGAAGAACACCCTTATATTGACATGCTCTGTCTCACTCTCCTCGTCATCTGTTGCTGTTTCCTGAGATTTCTGTCCAAAATAAACCACCTTAAAGTAGGCCCTTGTCTCAGGTTCAGCTTTCAAGGGGGTAAACCAGGCTAAGACACCACTAAATATAATTCATACAGGGAAGGCAGGATAAATGCTCAATTCTTTCCTTATATTGCAAATAATCAGAGTACTACCTAGCTATATCTAATAATAAGCTCTAGGATTTATATGTCATCAATGAATTTCAATCAGTTGTAGTCGTCTTACTCTTTTTAGATGCTCAGATTGTCCTTTTTTCAGCCAATGAAACTGTTAGTTGCTTAGTCATGTCGGACTCTATGCAACCCCATGGACTATAGCCCACTAGGCTCCTCTGTCCATGGGATTCTCCAGGCAAGAATACTGGAGTAGGTAGCTATTCCCTTCTTCAGGGGATCTTCCTGACCCAGGGATCGAACCCAG